TGTGTCATCTGATATGATCACCCACAACTTAACAGTCCTGCCTCTCCGGCTTGCAGGAGGGACAGGGCAGAGTTCCTGCACCCTTTTTCTAGAAAAAAAGCACTGGGCCTGACACTCCAGCAAGTCTGTGCAGATCACATTTTTGCTCACAAAGCGTTAACCCCAACTTGCACAAGGTGATTTACTGCCAGGTCTCTCCTGACAGCAGAGAGGGGTGTGTGATTAAATTAACATTTCTTGCTCTGCCCACTTTTGCTCCTGATTCTGCCCACCACTGGGACGTGGCCCCTGGAAGTTGGCCTAGGAGAGAATGTGGCCCCTAGGCTAAAAAAGAGGTTCCTACCTCCCCACTCTAAACCAGCCACGTTGGGAAGCATCCAGAGTCGAGCTACTGCTGGAATTGACCACAGACGACTGTTCATGAAAATAGCCTTTGGGAAAACCCCTCTCCTTTCTGGGCAGGGGATTCCCACAGGAGTAATAAGGTTCTCATTAGGACCAGGCTGCCTGGCTGTTTGGCCCTGTCTCATATCGCTCACACGTCCCTCCGGCCAGAAAAGCCCCGTTTCCAAAATACAGCAATAAGGGGGAAAGCTGCTTGCGTCGTTCACAGAGACCAGTTAAGCTGAACCCTTAGGAACGGCACTCTCCGAAATCCTGCTGATTCCCTGGGCTTAGGCCAAGTGCCGTCAGCTTACCTGTGACAAAATCTCAGGGAGAATTTGTGAGCTCTCCCAGTCGCTTATTACACAACAATGCACGGGGTTTTATTTTCCTGGCACGGAGGGCTTTCCCGTCATCCCAGATTAAAATGATGGTGGCTGAAAGGCTGAGAATTACACAGCAAGCCCAGGTGCTGATTTTGCACACCTCTAAGAAGGGCTTGCAAAACTTTTGGCAGCAGAATGCTACCCTGGATCTGTGACAGCGGTGGGAACTGCTGCCCGTATCCCTGTCAAATGATGTCTGAGAACAGGGATGGGCCATATTTTTTCTGCGTTCCTTGCAGTGGCAGCTAGGGCCATAACTCAGAGGTACAGCAATTGCTTTGCATGAAGAAAGTCCCAGGCTAGAGCTGGGGATGTGTTTGTTTTTAAACTCACTTGCTGGTGCCCCTCGTAGAATCATAGAATTGCAGAGTTGGAAGGGACCCCCAAAGGTCATCTATTCCAACCACCTGCAATGCAGGAATCTCAACTGAAGCATCCTTGACAGTTGGTCCTCCAACCTCTGCTTAAAAACCTCCAAAGAAGGAGAATCCACTGCTTCCTAAGGGAATCTGTTCCACTGCCGAACAGCTCTCAATATTCCTAACAGGAATACTATACAGTGGTACCTCTGGTTAAGTACTTAATTCGTTCCGGAGGTCCGTTCTTAACCTGAAACTGTTCTTAACCTGAAGCACCACTTTAGCTAATGGGGCCTCCCGCTGCCACCGCACGATTTCTGTTCTCATCCTGAAGCAAAGTTCTTAACCCGAGGTACTATTTCTGGGTTAGCGGGGTCTGTAACCTGAAGAGAATGTAACCTGAAGCGTATGTACGGTAACCCGAGGTACCACTTTAGTACAGTCATACCTTGGTTTTCAAACAGCCTAGTTCTTGAACGTTTTGGCTCCCGAATGATTGAAACCAGGAAGTGACTGTTCCGGTTTTCGAACGTGCTTTTGGAAGCCGAACGTCTAGCAGGGTTTTTACGGTTTCCAATTGGCTGCAGGAGCTTCCTGCAGCCAATCAGAAGCCGCACTTTGGTTTTCGAACGCTTTGGAAGTCGAACGGACTTCCGGAACAGATTCCGTTCAACTTTCAAGGTATGACTGTAGTGGGTTTCCTGGATTGGCAGAGGGCCAATATCCACTCAGTTATATAAATCCAGTGTTGCACATGTATTTTATGTATTTGTGTATTGTACATAGCTTGTCTCACTCCTTATGTCACCAAGAGCACCTGCTCACATGTCCTAAAGCAGATGTGGACTCCCTGTGGCCCTCAGCTGAGTTTCATGCAGAACTGGGAGCAAACAAGAGAGAAGAAAGGGTGAATGTAAGGAATGCTGGAAAATATAGAGCAATGGAAGATGAGGGGAAGCCATCTACAATCGCTTCCTCATCCAGCAGCTTGCCCCGCCCATTCTTGGCTCTAGCCCCACCCACTGCTGGCTGTGGCCCCACCCACTGCAGGTCATCCCTTAAGACATGTAACCCTCAACAAAAAATAAGCTTCCCCACCTCTTCGCTAAAGGGAGATTGGAATTATAGGGACAGAACTACCCAAATTGTATAGAAATTTATTTATGTACGCTGCTAGAGCAGCAAGAATGTTACTTGCCCCAAAGTGGAAAGAAGCAGAAGTCCCAGCAAAGGAAGAATGGATACAAAAACTTATGGAAGCTGCAGAAATGGCAAAACTTACTGGAAGAATAAGAAATCGAGATACGTACTGTAACAAACTTTTTATAGAAGAATGGAAATGGTTTATTGAATATTTACAGATGAATTATAAACAGATAGAAAAATTGGCAGGATTATTGTAATAATCTGCAGTTCTATAAGAGTATATATTTAAAGAAGATGAATAAATGAGCAAAATAATTCAATTTGGATATGCAGAAGATATTAAAAACAAATTTAAGGAACCGTAGAAAGAGGAGGATGCAAGTCAAATTTTGAAATGTTAAATTGATTGTAAAACTAATGAAATGTATAAACTTGAAAAGTATAAATAAAAACTTTTTTTTTTTTAAAAAAAGGAAACATTTCCACCAATTGTGGAACTGGGCTTACCTTTTGCGTGTTTCCAGAGATGTTCTTCGTTTAGTTCTTCGTTCCCCAAAGCTCTACCCAATGAATCACTGCCTTTGACCTGCAGAACCCTGGATCCAGCCCCCGGGTGTTGCAGAAGTTGACTAGAAAGGTTTGTTTTGAAGAGCAGACATGGGCTTCCGCCATTATGCAATGGCTTGCATAAATCATGGGAGTTGGCAGGCGTGGAGTTCAAGCCTGTGATGCAACGCTATTCGCTCACACAAGCCAGGCTACCTTGAACTACCTCTGGAAGCCAACGCACGTCACGATGCGTAAAGCCAGGAGTCCAGAGAGCAAATATCTTGAAGTGACATTTGCTGCAGAACTTTCGGCTTGGATCTGCGAGCATGAAAGCAGCAGCAAAATTCCTCACCAAGTTTTTTGGGGGGAAATTCAGGGGAAGTCCCCTCCGCAGGAGGCCATCTCCTGGCAGACACAACCCCCTTGCCTTCCAAAACATCACTCTGTGCCATGGTCTGGCTGGATACAAAGGAATGGTGGGAGGCAGCAGCTGGGGAACCCCCAAGGGAACCCCCAGGGGAAGAAGGCTCAGAGCCCAGGGATTGGTGGTGGGACAACAATGTGTGGTCAGAGGGAGAAGAGGGAGAAGAATGGGAGGAGGAGGAGGCATCAGAAGCTGAGGAGGGAACAGGGTTTGGTGAGCAGGAAGAGGCTATGGCAGAGAGCGGTTCAGAATCAGAGGCTGGAGAGGAGGTTGGTCAAGAGGCAGAGATGAGTCAGGCTTCTGAAGAGGCCAGGGAGTCTCCCCCTCCTGCTGCAACCCGCTCCCCTCCCCACTGGTCTCCCAGGACCAGAAGAGGCATGAAGAGGGCAGTGCAAAGGCAAGGCACGTCAGCAAAGTCTCAGGTGCTTGGGAATAGGGTTGCCACCTGTATAACACAGGATTGTCCTGTATTTCAGGTCTTCTCCCTCTCTCTCTGCCAAGTTAGGGATTCCCTATGCATGTGTTCGAAAGGGCGCATGAAAGGCCATGTATTTAAGCTCTGGGTAGCCAAGCACAGACAGATTTACAAATTTGTGTGTGTGACAAATTCCAGAGGGGCCAACCTGTTAGGCTGCAATAGATTGCAATGGATTGCTTTGAATGCCCCCCCAACCACCCCGCCCCACATTTAGCCAAAACAAAGATGGCAACCCTCCTTGGGAAGGACCCGGGGGATGAGGAGACTTACGTAGCCAACTGTAGGAAGCTGGGGACCTTCAGTCCCCACAACTGCAAGATCTACCGGGACAAGTTCCTGCACCTCCTGAGTCAATCATGTTTCCTTGAATAAAGAGTTAGTTTCACTGACACCGGTTGATTTATTGCTGACCTGTTTCTGATTCCTGCTCCTGACGCTCTGCTACATCATCATCCTGAAATATCTGGGGCAAGGAAAATGACGGGCACCCGCCATTTGCAGAGAGGTTCCCCCAGCCATTCTGGGCAGCTTCCAACACAATATTAAAATACAGTAATGCATCAAACATTAAAAGCTTCCCTAAACAGGGCTGCCTTCAGATGTCGTCTGAAAGTCTGGTAGTTGTTTTTCTCTTTGACATCTGGTGGGAGGGCGTTCCACAGGGTGGGTGCCACTACCGAGAAGGCCTCCACCTGGTTCCCTGTAACTTGGCTTCTCACAGTGAGGGAACCGTCAGAAGGCCCTCGACACTGGACCTCAGTGTCCGGGCTGGACGATGGGGGTGGAGACACTCCTTCAGATATACCGGACCAAGGCCGTTTAGGGCTTTAAATGTCAGCACCAACTCTTTAAATTGTGCTCGGAAACGTACTAGGAGCCAATGTAGGTCTTTCAAGACCAGTGTTATGTGGTCTCAGCGGCTGCCCCCAGTCACCAGTCTAGCTGCCGCATTCTGGATTAGTTGTACTTTCTGGGTCACCTTCAAAGGTAGGTAGCCCGACGTAGAGCGCATTGCAGTAGTCCAAGCGGGAGATAACCAGAGCATGCACCACTCTGGCAAGGCAGTCCACGGGCCGCATTCCCCCACTGGTACACTTCTGAGGGCCAGACGCCAGAGGTGAGCAGGAGCAGAGGCGATAGGACAAGTGCAAATATCTGCTGGAAATTTAAGGAAAAAGAAGGTACCTTTTTATCATATGTGGTGGACCTGTAAGCTTTCTGGGAGATGATATACAATGAATTGAAAAAAGTGTTTAAAATAACTTTTGTTTTTTAAAAAAGAAGCTTTTTTATTAGGAATTACAGGTACTGACATCCCAAAGGATCAGAAAAGACTTTTTATGCACGGAACAACAGCCACCTGGATGCTACTATCCCAGAGATGGAAAGAAGACAAGGTCCCTACCAGAGAGGAATGGCAAACCAAGCTGATGGACTACGCCGAAATGGCAAAGCTTACTGGAAAACTCAGGAACCAAGAGGACAAAAACTTTACAAAAGAATGGGGAAAACGTATGAGTTATCGAAGAGACCATTGTAAGCAAATGGAAACATTGGCAGGATTCTGATTCCACTTGTCGTATAACAATTACCATGGACAATATGGATTGATACAAAAGTTAGAGTTTGGAGGAAGATGCAGTTTAAAATGTTTAAAATGGGACTCTACGGAGGGGGAGGGGAAGTCCTGGGATTTGGAGAAATCTCTGTACAGTGGTACCTCAGGTTACAGATGCTTCAGGTGACAGGCGCTTCAGGTTACAGACTCCGCTAACCCAGAAATAGTACCTCGGGTTAAGAACTTTGCTTCAGAATGAGAACAGAAATCGTGCAGCGGTGGTGCGGCGGCAGCAGGAGGCCCCATTAGCTAAAGTGGTGCTTCAGGTTAAGAACAGTTTCAGGTTAAGATCGGACCTCAGGGAAGCATTAAGTTCTGAACCTGAGGTACCACTGTATATGGATATATATTTGGATTTTTAAAACTTTGTATTGGAAAAATCAAATAAAAATGATTTCCAAAAAAAGAAAAAGAAAAAAAGAGCAGAGGCGATAGTGATGGGTGCATGTCTTGCTCCACCCATGTAAAAATGGAAATGTTTCTGACTTTTGTCAGAGGCATCTGAGACTCACACACCTTTCATCGTCCCCCATCCAGGCAGCCAAGAGGCGTTAGGACACTAGTCCCTAGTTTCATCAGAGAATTGTTGGAGGGTGTGGGAAACCCCTCCAGACCCTGACTTATTTTTGCAAATGTGCTAGCAGTTTTATTGCTGCACCACTGCGAGACTAATAATTTGCTGTTTGCATTGTTTTATGCTGTTCTTAATAACTGCATTTATTTTGTTCTTGATGATTATTTATTAAAATTATATTATATTGGCTGTGATTAAGAATAGCACAACATTTACATTATATTATATTATATTATATTATATTATATTATATTATATTATATTATATTATATTATATTATATTGTTATATTATATTATATTATATTACATTACATTACATTACATTACATTATATTATATTATATTATATTATATTATATTATATTATATTATATTATTGAGTTCCCACTGTCTCCCTATGCGAAGCCAGCTAAAAAAAGGCAGCAAAATTGCGCCTGCGCACTACGGAGCGGGAAGCCGCGCCACGGGGCGCTTTTTCCTTGCCCTTCGACGGGCAGAGCCTGTGGGCGGGGCCTGAGAAACGGGGCGGGGCGGGGGGTGAAGGGAGACGCTCGCGGGGCGGAGTGTTCTAGCATCCGGGTCCCTTTCCCGCTGTTGTGTGCCTGCGTTCCATCCCGCCTGGCATTGAGCGGCGCCTGTGCCTGTGAAGCGGCTGCCAACGTTCGGAGCAGAGCAGACTCTTCCGCCGGCGCGCAGGCAGCAGCATCTCCTCTGGGTGAGTAGCTAGTCCTGCGTGTGCATTGACCCCCCAAAAAACTCACCCCTCTTCTCCGTTCAGGCTGGGGTGGGGTGTGTGGGTCGGGGTCGTTTCCAGCCTGCCATGCAAAAATGAGGTGTCTGGGTGTTTTCCCTTAAGGTCTCCAGCCTTCCGTGCAAAAAAATGGGGTTTTGCAGCTTTCAGTATCTCATGCAATAAAAAAATAAAATTTTGGGGGGTGCTCTGAGGTGTTTCTCTTTGCCCCTGCCTGCCTGCTTGGCTGCACAGAGAGAGGGCAGTCCTGTCTGTGACTTACAACAAAGAGAGGAGAGATGCGCGTTGGGAAAGGGGTTGCTGTCTGCGCTGTCTTTCCCCTCCCCAGTGGCAGCATCTATGGGGGATTTGGGGTGTGGGGAGAGACTAGGAAGGGAGGAGGTGGGGGGCCACCCGGCTGTCCTTTCTCTCTTCCCTCTTTGCCCCCAATTCCCCAAGGAAAAGAGCGTCCGTCTGGGATGCCTTTGGCTCCAGCCACTGGATGGGAGAGAGGCGAGTGATCTGTCCTTGTGGGTCTCTGTGGGGCGTCCGAGTGGGGCGGCCTTTCTCCAGAGTGCTGTGTGGTCCTCTCTGCACGCTCCCTGCTCTCTGTCTTCTTATGGGGGCTGAGATGGGCCAGAGGTCTCTGTGAAGATGGCCTTCCCTGGGGGCGATGAGGAGGGGGTAGCTGGGTCTTGGGCTACCGTTGGGGGTCCCGTCTATAGGGCTGTGAGAAGATGCGACGGGGTAGTGCATACGGCTCTTGCCAGGGGGCGCTGTAGAGCCCTGGGGAAGGAATCTTGTCTCATCTGTGGGGCTGTGAGATGTAGGGAAGACATTTGGTGGGGGGGGTATCTGGAACTTGGGGGGTGGGATAGGGGGCCGTGACCTCATATGCTCCCTGAAACTGTGCCCTTTACATTCTCTGTATGGGGCTAAGGTGGGGGGGGGAACCTAGCTAGACTTGGAGTCTGTATGGGGCTTCTGTGGGGCTGAGGAGGCATATCGCCCCCAGAGCAGCTGTGGGGCTTGCCATCCCCTTGGAGCCAAGAAGGTGTTTTCTATGGGGCCGTCCAGAAACGGGACAGCCCTTCCTCACAGGACGTGTAGTGCCATCCCTTCTGTGGAAGCATGTGATGCTGGCGTTCTCCGGATGATGTCTGGCTTGTTCCTGGGAACTGGCCGTCCCGTGGGTTCCTTTCCTGTCAGGTTGTGGGGTGTGTGGGGTGTGTCGTTCCCTAAGGGGTTATTTGACACGTGCGCCGCAGTTCGAGGCTGCTGTGGGGTGTTGTTCTGTGGAGCCGAGAAAGCGTGGGCAGGTGCGTTTGGAAATAATGTGGTATCCCTCAGGCGAGATGCCAACACATCTTGGCAGTGTCGCGGTGGTATATATATATATATATATATATATATATATATATATTAATGTGCGTCCCGAAAGGGCTGGATCCGTTCTACTCACCTTGGCTGTGGGGGAAAGGCCAGGTCCCCAAGGCACTGCCCCAGTTTCTAATTCCGTTGTTGCTGTTTCGTTTGGCTCGCCTCGCCAGGTTGCAATGCCCAGTCTCTCTGCTAGTCTGTATTGAACTGGGTTATGCCCACTGAGTGGCTGCATGGATTTCCCCCTCTGGGTCCTGGATGACTCTTCCTCTGTGCTGAGCGCAGGCCCAGATATCTGTGGATGTTCGTGCGCTTTAAGCTGGTCCAGCTCCTCTTTTAAATACGAACCATCCAGCCTCCCGTCTTTCAAAAGTTGACAGGAGGGCAAGTTCCCTGGCTTGTTTAAAGGCAGATCAGACAAGATTATAAGAGTGTCTTTTATATGTCTGGAGAGGAAGTTGCAGCAGTTCTCAGCGACTCCCCTCCTTTGCAAAATAGCCTTTGATTATAGAGTGAGCCAGCAAAGCACAGGAAATTCCTAACACTGAGTAGGAGAGAGTCTGAAAGCACAGAGCTTAGGTTGTGGGGAGTAGCCGGGGGGGGGGGGGGAGCACCAGAACGCAGAGATTGCCAAAGTGGTGCTCTCCAGATGTTTGCATGGTTAAAGGGGAATCGGAGCCCCCCCATCAACATCTGCAGGGCTCAGCCAACGTTAGAGAGGCAAAGCGTAAGAGTGTGGAAATTTACCCCGGGGTGTTTGCAGAGCAGCTGGTTTTGATAGCTTGAGGAGCCAATGGAGTTCTCTGGCCCCCTGATGCTGGCCTCCGCCACTCCCTTTTGCAAATATCACAGGAGATGCCAAAGATTTCCTGTGTGTGTGTGTATTTCTAAAGAAACTTTGGCAATGCATTTCGTTTGCATATTGCTTCTTCTCTGGCCTTCCCTTTTTCATCTGTAGTTCCTGATCGTGCCTGCAACGTGCTTAGCAACACGGAAAGCTGGCTTAGTGGCTCTGCTTGCTTGCAGGACTCCTTCGAAATGCAGAGTGCGCTTCCTACTGTCTTATTATCCTTGATTTTGGGTGTCTGCGATTCCCACAGATTCCTCCTTTTTGCTAAGTTGCCTGTGAACCTCTGCACTTCTTCTGCAAGTTCTGTTCCGCTCTCTCGAAGTCCAGTAGGTGTACATTGCTGAATATTTCCAGCTTTTTAAGAAATAACGTCATTCTAACAACAACAAAACAGGCTTGTGGTTTTCTCTGGGGGAGTTGTGCAAAAAATTCTCAGTGTTACCTTCTGAGACCTCTCTTCCTTTCCTCTTTGATGATAGCTGTCTTCTCTGCATGTAGCCACATGGTGTTAATTTGAGACTAGATGTTTTGGTGAAATTAAACATTAATACATACTATGTGGAGTAGATGTGTAGCTGTTTTAACAGAGCGGCGAGTTAATTTTCAAACACCAGCCACACTCTGGGGTGGTTTTTTGTTTTTATAAGGGTCCGTGTGAATCGTTGGATGTTTTTATGGTAGACTTCTGTGGAACTGAGAGGTTCTGGAGAGCTGGTGTGGCCTAGAGGTTAAGAGGCTGAGCTGATATTTCTCTCTTCTCTGCCATGAACTCACTTGGTGGTCTTATGAGAACCGTGCTCTCTCTGCCTCAGTCCCCCCACCTGGAAAATGGGAAACAAGATTTTTGTACACTCAAAATTTTTGTGACTCAAAGGTGGAAGGTGGTTTACAAGTAGTCATATAAATAAAGAATGCTAGCTTACCTGACAGGGATGATGTAGCATCACAACTAGATGATCCATGTGAAATCCATTGAACACCTTGAAAACACTCTACAGGTGTTAGACTTTATCGCCAACATGGTTGTTCTGATCTAAAGGAAACTTGGATTATTGAAAAAGGTAGAGAAGCAAACAGTTCTGTGTGCTTGGATCTACAAATGGATTTAAACCGACACGGGTGGCGCTGTGGTCTAAACTACTGAGCCTCTTGGGCTTGCCGATCAGAAGGTCGGCGGTTCGAATCCCCGCAACGGGGTGAGCTCCCGTTGCTCGGTCCCCACTCCTGCCAACCTAGCAGTTCGAAAGCACACCCCCCCCAAAGTGCAAGTAGATAAATAGGTACCACTCCAGCAGGAAGGTAAATGGCGTTTCCGTGTGCTGCTCTGGTTTCGCCAGAAGCGCTTTAGTCATGTTGGCCACATGACCTGGAAAAACTGTCTGCAGACAAACGCCAGCTCCCTTGGCCTGTAAAGCAAGATGAGCACCGCAACCCCAGAGTCATCTGCGACTGGACTTTACTGTCAGGGGTCCCTTACCTTTACCTTTTTAGAATAGAATAGAAGTGAAACTCAATTCAGGCAAGATGGGTTCATGCGTTCAGGTTAGTAGTCCAGCCAGTGTTGGATGGAGCTGTACCCCCTTAAAGGAGCAAGTTCACCATCGGGGTGCGTGTGTATACCTAGACCCAGGTATGTCACTAGGGGTGCATAGGGACTCTGGACATAGAATGCCTTCTATCAGTTTGCCACTGGGGAATTGCCCTATTCAGTGGTACAGCAGCTGCTCGGCATGCAGAAGGTTCCAGGTTCAGTCCCCCATGGCATCTTCAGGTAGGGCTGGTGAGAGAGAACCCTGCCTCCAATCCTGGAGAGCTGCTGCCAGTCAGTGTGAACAACAGCTGATAAGCTGACGTGGGATAAAACAGCTCCTGTCTTTCTGTATTCATTACTGGTCAGAGAGAGAGCTTAGCCCCATATCTCCATCTCTGGTAATCGCTAAGGGGCCACCTTTGGAAACAACTGAATTCTAACTACCTGGGTATTTCGGGTATTTCCGTTAAACAACTACACTGGTTGGTACCCAGGTCATTTCTGAGCCCGCCGAGTTCAAAAGGCTGGTGCGAACTTGGAGGAGCTTCGCTTGCGTTTAAGCCAAGGGCCGTCGGCTTCGGGCGGGACGCTTCCTCGCGGTGAGAATATTTGCTTAATATTTTATATTGGGAACCAGAAGACCACATCAGTGCAGCAAAATACTGGAATGTCTCAAGACAAATGGGAGGAACAGCTTGCATTTTAAGTTCTGCCAGATTAGAGAGCCTGGATAGGTTGGTTAGAGCGTGCTGCTGATAATGCCAAGGTTGCAGGTCCGATCCCCGTATGGGTCAGCTGCTTATTCCTGCGTCGCAAGGGGGTTGGACTAGATGACCCTCAGGGTCCCTTCCAATTCTACGATTCACTCTGACCCTTAGCATAGAACAACCGGGGTGGAAGATCTGACAGTCTTCCAAATGGGGCTCATGCTCCCACAACACGACAGAATCAGGAGCGAGACCTTTTCTGTGTAATTGGAACATTAATTGCTCCGTTGGGTTGTCTTTTCCACCTGTGCGCTTTGTAAGAACATCCAAATGACTTTCTTTGTGCCAATGTGCCGTCCACATGGCAGGTGGCAAAGCATGTGGGTTGGGGAAATGCAGCAGTGATTGTGTACAAAACCCCTGTCTGGAGTTGTGCATGGCTTTTCACTGCAGATACCACTTTGGTTATTTGCCTAAGATCCGGCAGCCCAGCCACTGCTCAAGCAATGCTTGGTGTCCATATCTGGCCTTGCAAAGGGATATTCTTCCAGGTCACATTTGTGCAGCCCTGTCCCTACGGCTGTAGTTGCACGTCCAATGTCTCTCCAGCTTGCATTTATTTCCCTGCCGGACAGAACAGCTGACATGCTCTGTCCTGGTCCTCTTCTGCTCTTGGCACGCTGCAATCTGCATGACGATGGCTAATAAATTAGGAATGTTTGGTTGCAGGGAATCCTCCCTCGGAGTTGAAGGCTAGGAAAGCCGAGCTTGCCTTCCCTTTCAGCCGTCTGATTACTGGACACGAGTTTAATTTCAGCTGCTATATTCTACACAAACAGATGGTCACATGGCAGAAGTGTTCCTGGACTGTACCACTTCAAGCTGCAGGAGTGTGGGAGCGTTCTGCTCCATTAAAATACATATATACTCCCTGCACATAGAAAACTAAGTGTCAGGGAGAAGCGTTCTAGCCTAGCCTTCTACCTGGCATGCTGTGAATGTGACTAGAGGAGCCATTCAGACATAAATACATCCCCCCCCCTGACCTGCAGCGTGTAGTGTAAAGATGGGTTAGATTCCAGATTGGAGGTCCAGAGTTGCAAGGGGCTACAACTATTCACCCCCAACCAGTGTTCGAAATTCGCCAGGTGCATTTTGCACCAGACTATCGCCCATTTGCAACCAAGTGAAGGTGCCTGCTCCACCATCTGGAGGCGCATGCCTGGGGATCCTTGGATCTTGATCGTTTTCACGCAATAGCAGCACACCCAGTAGAATTCTGTCCGTGATATTTTATCTGCACAATCAGAATGAATTTCAGGAACCAAAAAATCATATTGAAAAACACGACTTCTGAGCCGCCTGGCCCAAGAATGGCAAGTGGACGTTCCGTTTTGGCGACTGTAACCCGGGTTTAAGGAGCCATTGGGCACGTAGCTTACATATCTGAGTTTCTAACACTATACCCTCAATACACACGCTTTGCATTAGTATACTTTGTACTAGCATATAGAAGAAATAGGTAGCCTCCATTCTGTCCCCTAAGGAGTGGTGGGGAGGGGAACCTGTGGTCCTCCAGATGTTGCTGTATTGCAGCTCCCATCAGCGTGGTTGGTGATAAGGGATAATGGGAGCTGTAGTGCAACAACATCTGGAATGCTGCAGGTTCCCCACCCACTGTCCTAAAGGATTCAGCACAGCGTCTTGACCCTTTGGACCTTCAGGGAGCCATGGGAGATTTCAGTTCCCATGCACCCCAGTTTTGCAGAATGCAATGTATATCCTATGAGAGCCAGTGTGGTGTAGTGGTTAAGAGCGGTAGTCTCGTAATCTGGGGAACCGGGTTCGCGTCTCCGCTCCTCCACATGCAGCTGCTGGGTGACCTTGGGCCAGTCACACTTCTTTGAAGTCTCTCAGCCCCACTCACCCCACAGAGTGTTTGTTGTGGGGGAGGAAGGGAAACGAGATGGTTAGCCGCTTTGAGACTCCTTAGGGTAGTGATAAAGCAGGATATCAAATCCAAACTCTTCTTCTTCTTTCATCGTCTTCTTCTTCTAGTCCAACCCCCTGCAACGCAGGAATCTCAGCTAAAGCATCCCCAGCAGATGGCCATTGAATCTCTGCTTAAAATCCTTCAAGGAAGGAGACTCCACCATATTCTGAGAGAGTCCATTTCACTGTCAAACTGCTCCAGAGCCAGTGTGGTGTAGTGGTTAAGAGCAGTGGACTCGTAATCTGGTGAACCGGGTTCGCTTCCCCGCTCCTCCATATGCAGCTGCTGGGTGACCTTGGGCCAGTCACACTTCTCTGAAGTCTCTCAGCCCCACTCACCTCACAGAGTGTTTGTTGTGGGGGAGGAAGGGAAAGGAGAACGTTAGCCACTTTGAGACTCCTGAAGGGGAGTGAAAGGCGGGATATCAAATCCAAACTCTTCTTCTTCTCTTCTTCTTCTTAATGCTATGCTGCTGAGGACATCCAGGCTGCAAATAGAGTCTTCCGGAAGTAACGCAAAGAGACGTGGAGCAGGATACAGTGGAACCTCGACTTACATACGGCTCTACTTACGTACGATAAGTATGATAGCCATGTTCAAATATATAAAAGGATGTCACATAGAGGAGGGAGAAAGGTTGTTTTCTGCTGCTCCAGAGAAGCGGACACGGAGCAATGGATCCAAACTACAAGAAAGAAGATTCCACCTAAACATTAGGAAGAACTTCCTGACAGTAAGAGCTGTTCGACAGTGGAATTTGCTGCCAATGAGTGTGGTGGAGTCTCCTTCTTTGGAGGTCTTTAAGCAGAGGCTTGACAGCCATATGTCAGGAGTGCTCTGATGGTGTTTCCTGCTTGGCAGGGGGTTGGACTCAATGGCCCTTGTGGTCTCTTCCAACTCTATGATTCTATGATTGATTCTACGATTCCAGTTATGACCTTCAGTAGGTGCTTCGGGGCAGCACTGGGGCCTCTGCTGCCAGGGAGAGGGCCCCCATCCCACCCCCGAAGCTGTGGAAAAGGTGCCGCCTACAAGAGGCACAGCAGGGCACACTGCAGGCCCAAACATGTCGAGGAACTAACCTGAGGAAGTCCAGGGAAGAACCTGGCCTGGCAAGGAAAAAAGTGACCCTGGCTGAAGTGAATCAGCTATTTACTGACCCTTGCCCCTCCCCCAGCTTGTAGCCAGGTAAGCCCACCCACCCTCAGTGCATGTAAGAAGAAGAAAAAGTTAATTTTTTTCATCTACAATACTGTCTTCTTTATTTTATAGTACAGTACATTGATTATAGGGACACGGGTGGCGCTGTGGTCTAAACCAGTGTTTCCCAAACTTGGGTCGCCAGCGGTTTTTGGACTACAATTCCCATCATCCCTGACCACTAGTCTTGCTAGCTAGGGATGATGGGAGTTGTAGTCCAAAAGCAGCTGAAGACCCAAGTTTGGGAAACACTGGTCTAAACCACAGAGCCTAGGGCTTGCCGATCAGAAGGTCGGCGGTTTGAATCCCCATGGTGAACTTCCGTTGCTCGGTCCCTGCTCCTGCCAACCTAGCAGTTCGAAAGCACGTCAAAGTACAAGTAGATAAATAGGTACCGCTCCGGCGGGAAGGTAAACGGCATTTCCGTGCGCTGCTCTGGTTCGCCAGAAGTGGCTTAGTCATGCTGGCCACATGACCCAGAAGCTGTATGCCAGCTCCCTCGGCCAGTAAAGCGAGATGAGCGCCGCAACCCCAGAGTCGTCCACGACTGGTCAGGGGTCCCTTTACCTTTATATTGATTATTGCCTTCATTTTATGGGTCTATGGTCTTTTTAGACAGTAAAATCCATGTTAAATTGCTGTTTTAGGAGGTGTTTTTCATCATCAATTCACTTTTCCATTACTTTCTATGGAGAAGTGCACCTCTACCTATGTACATTTCTACGTAGTTATGACCGGACCTCCGGAACAGATTATGGTTGTAAGTAGAAGTTCCACTGTAGATTGCTTTGATACTTCATTAGGGTTCCCTGGAACATGGGCGCTGGCATCTCCCCCCTGTGCCACTTGGGAATTAATTCCAGTTCGAGCTGAGAGCATTCCATTCATCCCTCTCACAGACCATGCCATTGCTGCTTTAGGCTTGATGTGAAGACCATCACGACTTGCTCTTTTTCTGCGACATGACTGAAGGAAACAAAGGCTTCCCTGCCGTTGTACCAGTGGATTCCTTGACAACTTGCATCACTGGTTCGAACGTGTATTAAAGATTAACTAAGGCTGCAAGCATCCTTGCACCATTGAAAACAAAGTTATAAAACGTGCTCTGAGACCTTGTTTTGGAATGCAAGAGGTGTTTGGTGTCTTGTTTCCTTTGTGTATACAAGAATTTGATACCCCTTTGCTGTGAGTGAGATATATATTGCGTGTTTGGACACCAGCTCAGCTCTGTGCAAACCCCAACACACCTGGGTTATGGAAATCTTAGGCTGTGCACCTTAGCCCACAAACATGGTAATTTTCATTGGCCTCTATGTGGCTTGCTTCCAAGGAGATGTGCTGGGGAAGAATTGTAACTGAGTGCTAGGAAACATGCGAAAATTCCAATGTTCAATCTCACATAAAACCCCAGAGCTGCTGGCTGTTAGTGAAGACAAAACTAACTTGGATTGATCCAGTGGTCTGATTCCACATAAGGCATCAATCCTTTGCTGGAGTAGGCACAAACTCCACTGGTCATCTCTCCTAGCGCTGCTTTAACCGTCTCAAAAGTGCCAAAGAAATTTCTTCTTTCTACTATTGCAGTGGAATTGGCACACACGCCAGCATGCAAGTAACCATGGTTTTGTTTTTTAGCAGATATGGCCTTTAACGGACATGGTGCCACGGAGATTTCTACATAGGTACCTTGGTTTACGAACTTAATCCGTTCCAGAAGTCCGTTCTTAAACCAAAGCGTTCTTAAACCAAGGCGTGCTTTCCCATAGCAGCAGGGGACTCAATTTCCAAATGGAACACACTCAACAGGATAAGCTGGTCTCCAACCGTAATAAATTATCTATCTATCTATCTATCTATCATTCAGCAGGAAGCGAAACATGTTCTGCTTCCAAGACAAAGTTCACAAACCAAAATACCTACTTCCGGGTTTGCAGCGTTCTTCATCCAAGTTGTTCATAAACTAAGCTGTTCTTAAACCAAAGTACCACTGTACTTAAAGAAAGCACAGTTTTCCAATTGGAAGCAGTTGCACTTGCTGTTTGTCATCGCATCTTGAGAACTGGTCCTCTCGCCCAGCATTAGGCACATACAAAGGTGCTTTCCATCAAGTCAGTGACTCTGCAAGATTTCAGGAAGTGGTCTCTCTCCCAGCCCTACCCAGAGATGACGGGGATTGAACCTGAGACCTTCTGCTTGCAAGGCAGAAACTCCAGGCAGTCCTGGACTAGACAGATCTCTCATTTGATTCCCTATATGGCAGCTTCCACCATGTGCATTATTAATTTCATTTTTGGCAAAATGCACCTGCTGCTCAACCGACAAAATACCTCCAGGCCCTTTGCATAAAATGCTGTGAAACAGATATTTAAAACAGCAGCGAAGGTGGACTTTAAAAACAAATAAAATTGTAAAAATAAAATTTCAAAACGAAGATAAAATGATTAGATTTTTTTAAATGTCCATACATAATGTTTAGATTGCTTAAACAACAACAAGTTTTTGGCAGGCATCGAACAGAACAGAGAAGGCAGCTGCCTAATATTAACATATTGATACTAATAAGGTAATATAATTGTAAACATGATGGGAGAGGGAAGAGAGAGCTCTGAGGAGCAGATGGTTCCCTGGTTTTTACTTCCTTTTGCCAAACCTGTACTGGCAGGAGAGTTGACACGTGGCCATTGTGTGTTGATTTATCTGCAGTGCTTTCTTAAAATGCTCTTCCACGTGGCTTCTGTAACTCTTTCAAGTACTGTTCCATTGATGATCACTTCCATTCATTCCCTTGTATCTCAGATTACTTGCAGGACTTTGGAATCAATTCTGGAACTGGCGCTTGGATGGCTTCTTTTGCCGCATCCTCTCCTTGCTCACGCAGTCACAACCCCTACGAAGAGATGTCATAATACATGTCTGATTTCACACCGGCAGAGGTCATGCTTTGGTTTAGTGGCGGGGTGAGGTTGACTAAGGTTTGCCTCGCATCTGACACCTTGCTCTGTCCGCATTCTTTGTGTGTTTTGAATTATGTTGGTGGCTCAGGCGCAAATCAGCGGATCGGATTAACATTTTCTGTGCGCTGGTGTAACACCAGGCCCTGTGATCTTTCCCTGCTTTCCAGCAGCGAGGTCACAGATGGGGCAGTGCCCCATATAATCCGACATCCTGTTCTTGCAAGCAGGACCTTAGCCTTCTCCAGTCCTACAATCTCTCAGTGTCTGATAGCTAGATAGGTTTCTTGTAGAGTGGTACTTTGGTTCTCAAACTTAATCCGTTCCGGAAGTCCGTTCCAAAACCAAAGCGTTCCAAAACCAAGGCGTGCCTTCCCATAGCAAGTAATGCAACAAAATGGATTAATCCGTTCCAGACTTCTAAAAACAACCGTTAAAACAGCAATTTAAAACTAATTTTGCTGTCTAACGAGACCATTGATCCATAAAATGAAAGCTATAAAGAGTGTACTGCAGTCACACAATCAATCAGTCAGTAGCTGAACTGGGTTCTTCCACACAGTCGCGAAAACAAAAAGAGAGAGCTGCAAAAACAGACAGACCTCAGCGTAACATTCAAAACGGAAGTGCGGCACTCAAAACGGAAGCACAACACTCAAAACGGAGCACATTCAGCTTCCAAAAAAAGTTCGCAAACCGGAACACTTAGTTCCGGGTTTGCAGTGTTTGGGTTCCAAGTTGTTTGAGTACCAAGGCGTTTGAGAACCAAGGTACCACTGTATTGTTAGACATTGGTGACTTGTGGCTGCTAGGAGTCACAAAGACCCCGCCTGCTTGTGCGCAGACCTTAGGGAAAGTTTGTGAGCACTGGCAACAAACTGTTGTCTCGCAGCTTAAGGGTGGCGCCTTTCAGATCGTTCAGACTGCGGCTCCCACCATCCTTTACCACTGGCCATGCTGACTGGGGCCGTTGGGAGTTTGGAGACCAACAATGTTTAAGGGTGTTATGGGAATCTCTGTTGTTTTTCCTGTAGTGGAGTAACATGGCTGCCCATGTGGAAATTAGGGTCCCCGATGGAAGGAGGTGGATGTTTCCTGTTGCGTTTGTGCAAATGGTGTCGCCTTAGTAGGTAAGCACTGTACGTTTACCTGCTTTTCACTGCTCAGCTTGTTGTTGACATCCGTCTGTCTCGGGAGACAATGGAGGAGTGCGCCTTTGGAGGTGAATATATATATATAGAGAGAGAGAGAGAGATTCCCCCCCCCAAAAAAAAACAGGAAGAAAAATCATAACCAAATTAAACCATAAATTTTGGTTGACTTCCATCCACTACCCCTCTTGGTTCCATTATAATATACCATATTTTTCGCTCTATAGGACACACTTTTTCACTCCTAAAAAGTAAGGGGAAATGTGTGTGCATCTTATGGAGCGAATGCAGGCTGCGCAGCTATCGCTGAAGCCAGAACAGCAAGAGGCATCATTGCGCAGCAAGAGGGATTGCTGTTCTGGCTTCTGGGATTCAGAATATTTTTTCCTTTTTTCCTCCTCCAAAAACTAGGTGCGTCTTATGGTCGGGTACGTCTTATTGAGCGAAAAATACGGTGCTTGTTTATGCACATCCATAAAACCTTATACAGTTAACAATCCAATTTTAAAACCTTCTTCATCTTGGCTGGTCTTGGCCTGGAATCCAATCTCTCATATCGGAACAAAGTCTTTCGTTAAAACCATCCATCAAGTCCTGTATATCTCAATATAATAACTTCAGGGGTTTTTTAACAACAATCATTTCCCACAATTTCTTCAAATCTTAATATGTTTTTTACCTTTGGGGATGAAGTCAAGTGGTTGGAACTTGCAGCGCCTGCTGTGGCTGCGGAGACCGAGAGACATGTTTTGTTGCAGCTGGGGCAGAAGAAGGCATCCGGTTATGCTGCTGCAGATGCGCCGTGATGTTTCTTCTCTCTATGCTCCTCCGAGTGCTTGTTCCTCTTCTGGTCACTGCTGTGCGTGGATGACCTGACGATCTGCCTCCAGGCATGGCGGTCGTCTGCAAGGGGTTGACGTTGCCAGACTTCATGTCACATTTGCAGGCATCTTTGTAACGCAGAGTTGGTGCCTGAAACCAGCTCCCCATAAAACATATCTTTGGGAATCCTGACGTCTTGCATTCTGTGTGCATGACCAAGCCAGCATAGATGTCGCTGAGATGGGAATGCAGACGTGCTGGGAATGCGAGTTTGGGAGAGCATGACTCAGTTTGAGACGCTGTCCTGCCATGTGCAAGTGGAAATAAACACATACAGTCAAACCTTGGTTCCCAAACCCTTCCGTTTTGGAACATTTTGAATGCCAAAAACCCGTAAGCAAGTGTTCCTGTTTTTGAACATTTTTCGGAAGCCGAACCTCCAACGCGGCTTCCGTTTGAGGACAGGAAGCTCCTGCAGCCAATCGGAAGCCGTGCCTCGGTTGTTGAACATTTCGGACACTGAACGGGCTTCCGGAACAGATTATGTTTGACAACCGCGGTTTGACTGCATCCTGAAAACACCATTTCTCTCCAGTATTCTTTCCTCAGTGGGAAATGGACTCAGCTTACGTACAAAGCTATCCTTGCAACTTCCTCGTGATAGGAGGAGTGTGAAATGCAGGGATCAAAAACCGCCTCATTGCCGGTCCTTTCAAATGGAAATCCTTTTGCTGGAGGAGTTTTCCAGGTGTGCTTCCAGCTGTTCCTTGTCCTCAGCATCTGCGGATCCCGTGCGAAAGGTACGTGTTGGAAGGGAAGTGGCGCATTGATTCATGCAGTCCATTGATCCGCTTTCCACTGTCGGCGAAGTATTGACAGCAGTAAATGGAAATTGTATCCTGTTGGGGATATATTAAATGCAGGCACATCATAAAATTCACACAAATGAACCAGCTCGACTTTATCTCTCTTCTTTGTTGACAAAAAGATTCTGCGGCAGGTGCTGTTATTATAAAAGCTATACTGTTGTATATAAAAGTTAACCCTTTCCCTTTAGCGGCACAGAGGAAGGAGAGCGTGGTTTATAGAAAATCGGCTACTTGGCAGATCGTGCACAAAAATCTTGAAAAAGATATTGGAAGGCAATGATGGCATAAACCTCAGGGGAGAGGGGTTTTTTATTTTAAAAATGTTATTTTATTGAGTTTTGAACAATCTAAACGGTACAATAAAGAGTAACAGTGTCAGCAAAGCAATTGCAGATCTCTTGCAATTTGTTCCGTAAACTAAGACACGCACCAAGAAGACAGAAACAAGGAGCGGAAACAAAGATGGACTCAGATTAGTTCATCCAATCTCCCTGCATGTAAGGTTGGGGCTTTGCAAGCTACAGATGAGGCACTGATAAATAGAAACCATGCACTTAAAAACATATCTGGTTTAGCCTGGCCGTTGGCTAATCTGAAAGGTTCGTTTTTCTAATTACATAATGCCTTAAGGCCCTAGTTCTCAGACTTTTCAGTCTTGGCCTTTAGCCTTGGCCACACTTTCAGAATCAAAATGTGCTTGCACCACATCAAAGTTTTTATGGATAAGAAATGCGTCGGAAAACAAAAAGAAGCAACTCCTAGCCGTGCTTGATTTCTAACAGGGAACTGCTTTATGATATGATCATGGGACAGCCCTGAAGGCAGTCCTGTTTAGGGAAGTTTCTAATGACTGATGTTTTAATGTATTTTTAATCTTTTCTTGGAAGTCGCCCAGAGTGGCTGGGGAAACCCAGCCGGATGGGCGGGCTATAAATAATAAATTATTATTATTATTACTTATTAAGGGACATCCAGAAAGTACAAAACAACACAGCTAAAAAAAGAACATGAATCATTCCCAAAATATAATTATAAATAAGCCTCTTGCATACATACCTTAGGTATGTATAGAAAACACAGTGAGAGGTGTGAGCTTGCTTTTGCCAGGTAACCTCTGTATTGGGTCTAATTAGATCAATATAGGACAAATTAGACTTAGGCTAGGTCTAATTTGAGACCTGCACATTTCTGATCTTTCATGTTTGTCAGAGTTGAAAATCCCTTTTCTCAATTTCCTTGGTATTCTTTGATGGTCTTGCTCTCATTTTGAAAAGGTATCTACCCATATTCTGCAAATAAAAAAAAATATTATTTTGATGCTACACTGAAATGTTTAAATGTCTCTTTGATTGTCCTTGAATCTTCCTGCCACACTTGCCATCCTCTCCTGACCCACCAGTGTGGAGTGCCATACTCTTGGAGAACCACTGGTTTACAGCAAAGGGATCCTGTGGCCATACAAATGCTTTTGGGACTGCAGCTACCATCATCCCTGCCCATTGGCTGAGTTGTCTGGCTAGGGCTGATGGGAGTTGGTAATCCAACAACTAGAGCAGGGCCAAATTTGGGTATCCAAGCTATTTTTGGACTACGACTCCCATCATCCCTAGCTAGCAGGACCAGTGGTCAGGGATGATGGGAATTGTAGTCCAAAACAGCTGAAGACCCACGTTTCGGAAACACTGACCTAGAGAGTCACAGGTTCCCCATCCCTGTCTTATAAAGAGTAGACTCAAACTCTGGCCTCTTGTGTCTCAGCTACGCATGAGAGTCCTGGGTTCAAATCCCAGCATCTCTAGGCAGGGCAGGGAGAGATCCTGCTCTGAGCTACACGGACCATTGTTCTGGCTTTGTATAAGGCGGCTTCCTAGGCTCCAAGCGCTGCTGTGTTGGCTTGAGCTTCTGTGATGTCATGGAATGTTCACCAATATCCCAGATGAAAGGGAACAGTGTCAGCCACAGAAATATTAAAAGCAGACGCAAATGAAATGGGCAAGACCTGGAAGTGGAAGATGGGCTGGTGGCTGTAAAGTGAGGACAGTGGCAGAGATGCTGGTGGTCGGGGAATCAAGTAGGAAGAGGATCAAGTAGATGCAAAGGGACCCTGGGTGTGTGTGAGAGAGATTTTGCTGAAACAGCGCCTGGGAACAAGAAGGCATCTCTACGATGTGAAGAGCAATATATAATATAATATCTGTGAAAGCTTACGCCACAATAGAGTGGTTAGTGTTTAAGATGCAGCAAGGCTCTCTTGTTTATATTAATAACAATTCTTCGAAGTGCCTTTGGCTGTGGGTCGCTGGTTATATAACACTTGCATCAGCCTTGGCAGTTCACCTTGGGACAAGGAATCCAACAGAATGGATCTCTGCGCCTGGCCAGAATCAGCTGAAATAAATCCAAGGAAAACCCCCTAAGCTTCCTCAAACAGCGTTCAAGAGTCAGGCTTGCATCAGTGCTCTCCGGGGACTGAGATAGGTGTCGTGTCGCCAGGGTGGATGTGGGGTTTTGGCAGATGTCTTCACTCAAAAGAGTTTGCAAAACTTTTCTTTGAGTGAGTGAAACCTTGATGGATCCAATCTGGGAACTCACCCTCTAACCAGCTACGGTCCCTTTGGTTGCAAAGGCGAGGAGGGTGGCTGCCTTGGTTTTCAATACCATGAGCAAATCCACCTCTAATTATCCCTACAAGTAGAGATTAAATATCAACGGAGCAGGTGCGATTGCTGCTTGGAACACGCAGCTGGGATCTGGGATAGATGACCCGTCTGTTTTTTTGCCAGGTAAGTCATGGAAGCAGATGGCCCAACTGCCGTGAAATTGCCCAGCCTCTCTCTGCTAACAACAGAAACATCTCAGAGGGATGTCGTTGGTGGCTTGGCGCACACCTTGGGCACAATGCCGCACGTTCAGCCCTTGAGATCTTGGGTAAAGAGCCCAATTTCTGAAACTTTGGGATGCCCTTACCTGAGTAGATGGGACTGGTTTGATGGGCCAAAGTCGAAGCCATTTCCCAGAATGTCTAACCCTCTTTTAAAGCCATCTAGGTTGGTGAGTGGGACGCGGGTGGTGCTTTGGGTTAAACCACAGAGCCTAGGCCTTGCCGATCAGAAGGTCGGATGTTCGAATCCCCACGACGGGGTGAGGTCCCGTTGCTCGGTTCCTGCTCCTGCTAACCTAGCAGTTCGAAAGCATGTCAAAGTGCAAATAGATAAATAGGTACCGCTCCAGCGGGAAGGTAAAGGGTGTTTCCGTGCGTTGCTCTGGTTTGCCAGAAGTGGCTGAGTCATGCTGGCCACATGACCCGGAAGCTGTACGCCGGCTCCCTCGGCCAATAAAGCGAGATGAGCGCCACAACCCCAAAGTCAGCCACGACTGGGCCTAATGGTCAGGGGTCCCTTTACCTTTTTTAGGTTGGTGAGCATTGTTGTTTAGTCGTTTAGTCGTGTCCGACTCTTCGTGACCCCATGGACCAGAGCACACCAGGCACTCCTGTCTTCCACTGCCTCCCGCAGTTTGGTCAAACTCATGCTGGTAGCTTCGAGAACACTGTCCAACCATCTCGTCCTCTGTCGCCCCCTTCTCCTTGTGCCCTCCATCTTTCCCAACATCAGGGTCTTTTCCAGGGAGTCTTCTCTTCTCATGAGGTGGCCAAAGTCTTGGAGCCTCAGCTTCAGGATCTGTCCTTCCAGTGAGCACTCAGGGCTGATTTCCTTCAGAATGGATAGGCTTGATCTTCTTGCAGTCCATGGGACTCTCAAGAGCACCATAATTCAAAAGCATCAATTCTTCGGCGATCAGCCTTCTTTATGGTCCAGCTCTCACTTCCATACATCACTACTGGGAAAACCATAGCTTTGTTGGCAAGGTGATGTCTCTGCTTTTTAAGATGCTGTCTAGGTTTGTCATTGCTTTCCTCCCAAGAAGCAGGCGTCTTTTAATTTCGTGACTGCTGTAACGAAATTGGTGAGCATAGTTTGGCTGTATGAATAAGTCATTTCTTTTCTATGTGCCAGATCTTCCAACATTCAGCTTCATGGGATCTCCACCAGTCCTAGTGTTATGAGAGAGGGAGGGAAGTTTTTGGAGAGCCTCTGCACACTTTTTGGAGGAAGTGCTTTCTCTTTCGCCTCTCCTGAATCTTCTGACATTTTGCTTCATTGGACATTCCAGTTTTATGGAAGAAGGGGAAGACACTATTCTCTAGCTGCCTTCTCCACATAACTAGTACACTGAATTCTCTTTTCTGCTCTTATGTACATAATAAGTTATGCGGGTGATAAAGACTGCATTATCTGTTGGCAAAGCTTTTAGAAACCGCATTTCATTGAGGCCTAGTGTGTCAACAAACCCTTTTCCGGTTCCAAGATTTCGCAGCTTGCTCTCCGACGTAGGTAAATTCCATTTTGTCTTGCCTCCCATTCTTTCTACTCTTAAGCCATGATGATGATAATAATAATAATAAAAACCATTCATTGTTCTATTTATGGCTGAGCCGTGCCTGTGCTTATTGGCCAGCCTCCAAAGGAGTTTCTTCCAGGTGTGCCCAGTCTTGGCTCTCAATTCCCCCCTTTCTGGAGCCATAGACGCCCAACCCTTATCACAAACCGCTTATGGGACTCCCTCCAATTTCAAATGCCACTTGCCATCTGGCACGGGCACCTCCTTTTCAAAGAACTGCGAGCCCGGCCTCCCTTGGATGTGGTTGCATGGTTCATCAGATCCAGTTCATGATACAGTCGCACCGTGGATCCCGAATACCCTGGAACTCGGACGTTTTGGCTCCCAAGCGCCGCAAACCCAGAAGTGATTGTTCCTGTTTGCGAACGTTCTTTTGGAACTGGAACGTCCAGTTGGCTTCCGCAGCTTCTGATTGGCTGCAGGAGCTTCCTGCAGCCAATCAGAAGCCGCGATTTGGTTTTCAAACATTTTGGAAGTCGAACGAAGGCAGCCCTGTTTAAGGAAGCTTTTAATGTTTAATGGATTATTGTATTTTAATATTCTTTTGGAAGCCGCCCAGAGTGGCTGGGGAAACCCAGCCAGATGGGCGGGGTATAAATAAATTATTATTATTATTACTATTATTATAATATTCCGTTCGACTTCCAAGGTGCAACTGTATAGAGAAGTTTCCTTAGCTTCAGCCTTGTGGCCAACCTGGTGGCTTCCTGATGTTTGGGCCTGCAACTCTCACTAGCCGTAGCAGGCACAGTTTTGTTGGCTTGGGCTAGTGAGAATTGCAGTCCCAAAATACCTGGAGGGCAACAGGTTGCACGAGGCTGGTCTACTATTATGGACTGGCTGGATGCAGAACAATGGTGGTGGTGGGGAACCCCCAACAGAAAAAGGCTCAGAGCCCGGGGATTGGTGGTGGGATGACAATGAGTGGTCAGAGGAAGAAGAGGGAGCAGACTGGGAAGAGAAGGTGTCGGAAGAGGCAACAGGGTTTAGTGAGCAGGAAGAGGCTGTGCCAGACAGCAGTCCAGAGACAGAGACAGAAGCAGAGGCTGGAGAGGCAGGGAGTCAAGAGGCAGAGATGAGTCAGGCTGCTGAAGATGAATCCAGGGACTCTCCCCCTCCTGCTGCAACCAACTTCCCTCCCCCTGGTGTCCCAGGACACAGAGAGGAATGAAGAGGGCAGAGCAAAGAGAGACAAGGCATCAGCTTCTGAGGAAGAGAAGGGCAGATGAGAGGAGGCTTTAGCCTAGTTGCCACTGAGGTGGCCAGCCTGTGCTTGGGCTGTACCCGCTCAGGCTGCACTTAGGAGCTTGCATGTTGGACTTCTCTGCCATATAAGCAAAAACATTGCATGCAGACAAGTAGCACATCATGGAGAAAGAGCCCTGACAGGCTCTCTTTCTATTTGCATGGAATGTGTATGAAGAAGCAACTAACTGTGAGCCTATACTGCACTTCTGAATAGTACTACTTAGACGGATGTTAACAAACCTGGGGGAGAAGTAAATACAGGGAAGGAACTGGCGGAGGCGAGGAAATCTTGCATCGATTCAGAAACAGGCAACGTAATCTTTGGCTGCTTGCCTCTAGTCATGTATCTTAATGCTTAAATGTGGAGTTGGAAACTGGGTCAGTCATGTCTAATGGTCATTATGGCCTCTAAAATATCCTGCACAGCAGCTTCCTTTGTTAAAAATAGGATGGACTGTGGCTTAGCGGAATGTACATGCGGAATGTGCATTCCACGTTCTGCAGGTGGCATGTCCCGAGTTCAGTTCCTGGCATCTCCTGCTACCTGATCCTTCTGGCAGGCGATGCCAAACACCTGTGTCCCAAGGCTGTGGGGATCGGCTGACAGTCAGAGTAGGCCAGTATCCTCTAGGTCAGTGGTTCCCAACTACGTACTGCAGACCACCCACTTTTCAAAAGCCAAGCCATGGGCCCCCTACTTTGGAAAATGTTGATATTTATGGTAGAGGGACCCCCTGGGTGGGTTATGTCCACCAATTGGGACCACTGCTCTAGATGTTGTCGACTAGCTCCCATCATCCCCGGCCGCTGGTCATGCTGCCTGAGGCTGATGGAAATTATAGTTCATTAGCATCTTGGGGGAGGGTGCCATTTTTGCTACTCCTGGTTGCATTGGGTTAGAATGATGGGACAATGGCTTGGCTTGTCAGCTTCCCGTGGTCCTAAGGCATTTGGGTGTACCTAAACAGCCTCTAAAGGAGCGTCTCCATCCCCATCGTTCAGCCCAGACACTGAGGTCCTCCTCTGAGGGTCTTCTGGCGGTTGCCTCATTGTGCAAAGTGAAGTTACAGGGAACCAGGCAGAGGGCCTTCTCGGTGGTGGTGCCCGCCCTGTGGAACGCCCTCCCATCAGATGTCAAGGAAATAAGCAACTATCTTACTTTCAAAAGACATCTGAAGGCAGCCTTGTTTAGTGAAGTTTTTAATGTTTAATGCTGTATTGTGTTTTTGTATATGCTGGAAGCTGCCCAGAGTGGCTGGGGCAACTCAGTCAGATAAACAAAGTATTATTATTATTATTATTATTATTATTATTATTATTACTATTTTTGCCCCCAGACACACAGTTTTGTAAAAGAGTTGTGCTTGGGCCCTGCTTTCCCCCTGTGCGGAGCTTGTCTGAGGCCCCAGAGATGGGAGTCTTGTTGCAATAAAATTGTAAACTCAAACAGACAAGCAGCCGTTCCGGTTACATAAGAGGGCAAGGGAGCTCGGATAAACCAGTTTATTTTGCAACATCTCCACCGCAATATCCTTTACATAGCTGTTTATACATGAGAAGCTCAAACATTAGCAGTCAACTATACCTGGCGACTTGCTCCGACCGACTCGCAGTCCTTGAGACATGCCACCTCAGCAGCAGCCCCTAATCTGGTTTAATTTCATTTATTATCTATCATCATCTTTTATTATTATTAATTAGCTTTTCATTCACACAAATCGCAGAGCAGCTCACAAACGACAATCACATAATAGAGCATCACAAATGCAACTTAAATCACGTAGAATAATAAACAAGCCATCAGTAGCTCTGTTGGTTAGAGCGTGGGGCTGATAATGCCAAGGTTGCAGGTTTGATCCCCGTATAGGGCAGTTGCATATTCCTGCATTGCAAGGGGTCGGCCCTGATGATCCTCAGGGTTCCTTCCAACTCTACGATTCTGATTTTGGGGGGGAAAAAACACTATTCACAAAACTACTAAAATCACAAGCTGAAGAGTACATGTTACAGCAGAAGTTCGTATTGCTAGATTCACGAAGTACTGCATCATTCATAATCTGCAAAGCAATATTAGCAACTTTAGGAAGCCAGCAACCAAAAATAAACCAAGCGTTGCCGAAATCATACACTCAGCCTTCCCACCCCCATGACTCATAATCTTACACACCAGTTCATTAAAAGACACATGCGCCTAAAGGCTCGTGGCGGCAGTTCCATTGTGAAGGTTCCTCAGGCTGGAGGGCGGGTGGGAAAAGCCTTTGCCTGATCTGACTCTACACGCTAGTATGCAGTAACGCAGCTGCAGATTTTACCATCAGAGCCTTGCAGTGCATACGGACAGACAGGGCATTTCGCCCATTAAGACCCCGGTCAGCTGGGAGGCAGGGGGAAATCTTGGCACAACATCGTTAGTCCAGCAGGCCCCTCGCGGGGATCCCCAGTCGGCTTAGATCTCCGAGGCCCGGGGCAAGTGTACCCGACTGCGGACATTATTTCTCCCATAAAAATGACAAAACAAGAACAGCAAGGATTGGGTGGCAAACCCAGTCCTCGCTGACCCATTTGCTACCTACCCTAGGCTGGTTACGGAGATGAGGAGAAAGCAATTGCCAATATTTTCATTGCTTGCAAGCGACCTTTGTTCGGATGGTGGTATTTGCTTTATTTATATGTGATCATTCTGGTTTGCAAACGTTCTTTTGGAACCCGAACGTCCGACGGGGCTTCCGTGGCTTCTGATTGGCTGCAGGAGCTTCCTGCAGCCAATCAGAAGCCGCAATTTGGTTTTTGAACGTTTTGGAAGTCAATCGGACTTCCGGAATGGATTCCATTCGACTTCCAAGGTACAACTGTACTGCAATTTCATTTTAAAAAATCAAATCAGTTTACAACAGCTATAATAGCACAAATACACACACACACACACCCATTTAATATTGCAGATCACCAGCTAACTGAAATTTTTATTGATTGTCTGCCTAAGCCCGAAAGGTTTTCAGCAAATGTGCACAAGTTAATAATAGAGTGTCCTGCTGTATATTATGCACCTGGATCCCAGTTTCTGGAAACTGCAGGAGGGGAGAGTGCTGGTTGGCCACTGCAGGATGCTGGAGCAGGTAGACTGCTTGCCTGATCCTGTGAGTCTCTCTTCCTTTATTTTAGAAGGCGCCTGCTGAAATCTCTGTTGGACGATCATTGCACTGGGCAAGAGTGCTTCATGTCACTGTCAAATGAGCCACACCAGCTTAGGGAGCATGGACAAGCAGCGACGATCCTGCAGAAGGTCTTGGGGATTAAGCTAGGATAGAAATGGTAAAGGTAAAGGACCCCTGACAGTTAAATCCAGTTGCAGATGACTCTGGGGTTGCGGCGCTCATCTCGTTTTACAGGCCAAGGGAGCCGCGTTTGTCCGCAGACAGTTTTTCCAGGTCATGTGGCCAGCATGACTAAGCCGCTTCTGGCGAACCAGAGCAGCGCACGGAAACGCCATTTACCTTCCCGCCGGAGCAGTACCTATTTATCTACTTGCATTTTGATGTGCTTTCGAACTGCCAGGTTGGCAGGAGCAGGGACCAAGCAATGGGAGCTCACCCCTTTCGCAGGGATTCGAACTGCCGACCTTCTGATCGGCAAGTCCTAGGCTCTGTGGTTTAACGCACGGTGCCACCCGCATCCCGATAGAAGGGTTAGGTGGTCCCTAAGGCAGCTGGACCTAAGGGCCTCCAGCCTGGCTCTGTACCCAACTTGGTACAGTGGTACCTCTAGTTACTAACTTAATTCGTTCTGGAGGTCCATTCTTAACCTGAAACTGTTCTTAGAGGCGTGTTTTCGCTAGTGGGACCTCTTGCTGCCTCTGCACCACCAGCACACGATTTCCGTTCTCATCCTGGGGCAAAGTTCTCAACTAGAAGTAACTCTTCCAGGTTAGCAGAGTTTGTAACCTGAAGCATTTGTAACCCGAGGCATTTGTAACTCAAGGTACCACTGTATATCTTTCCTGATTGATCAGAGACTGATGCAAGTCTCACTGCATCCTGTGTCCACTTAGACAGCGGTGACCCTGGTTTGGAGCACATGTGCATGTCAGTCAACGGCCCCTTCTTGCTTCGTCAGGGCTCTTGCGCTCTGTATTAATTTCCAGCCTCGTCGCAGCTGCCCATCCTTTCGCGGCCAGTGGGATTCGGGGTTAGTGGAGCTCTCTCTCTCTTTCGCCGCTTCTGTTGTTTTGCGCTTTATCTTTGAGCCATCATTCTGTTTTTATTTTGTTTTCGAAACGCTGTTTCAATGTCCTCCTCCATTCAGATGTCCAGCTTTCTGTAAGTCAGATCTTTAACCAAAAGCAGGGAGGGCCAACGGAAGAGAGTGAAGGAATTGTGCTTGGGGGTCGAAAAGGTTCCTAATTCTGATAGAATCGAGGCTTGGTTGGGTGTCTGGATTTTAAGTGGTCAACTTTAAAAATGCAGGCTCTGCCAGGTTTATTATAACTGCAAAACACATTTGGTTTTTCGTGCAAAAAAGGGGGGTGCGTTTTTGTGGGTCAGGTTTAACTTGGTGGTGCTACTGACTTTTTCACAGAGTGGTGAATGCTTGAAATGTTGTTCTCTTTATAACTGCATTTCCACTTGTACCTACAGTGGTGCCTCGCAAGACGAAATTAATTCGTTCCGCGAGTTTTTTCGTCTTGCGGTTTTTTTCGTCTTGCGAAGCACGGTGTCGGAAAAGTTTTGGAAAAGCTTCAAAAATCACCAAAGTCTTCAAAAACCTCAAAAAAGACTACCACACCGCGTGCTATGAGTTGCTCCTCGAAGTCAAGTCGCAACTGTATTAACGGTTTTAAGAAAAAGGAAACAAACTTGCAAGACGTTTCCGTCTTGCGAAGCAAGCCCATAGGGAAAATCGTCTTGCGAAGCAACTCAAAAAACCAAAAACCCTTTCGTTTTGCGAGTTTTCCGTCTTGCGAGGCATTCGTCTTGCGAGGTACCAGTGTATTTATTTAGAAAGCGCAGTGCCTGTCTTCTTATATAGATATGTAGATACAATATATGTTTCATGTTTCGATGCTAGCCTTTTCCTGCTACTTGTATTTAATTTGGCTGGCTCAGTATTGCGTATCTTGAGATCGGGGTCGCCTGTCATAACTGGCGTGAGCCGAAATATTTTAAAAAATTGGACTAGGTGTGGGTAAAAAAAAAGCAGGTTTAAAATGAAATCTGGATTTATTTAGCTAAGTCATACTAAGAACTGAGCTCTTGAAATCAGTGGAATTGACTGACTTAAAGGATCTACTGAGAGTATGAGTTATTTGGATACAGCCAAACACATTAAAAGTCTACACTTAGAACTTCTTAAGGTATATCAAACAGATTGAATTTAAATTCTTAGATTTTTTTTAAAAGGAAGAGAAAACTAGTCTGCTAACCTTCTTAATGTAGTGCTTTCCATTTTATAGGTAATTCTGAATTCTAGGTTGATTTTCCCCCATTTATCTCCAGGAGGGTTCTGTTGCCAAATCTGCAACAAGAGATGTGTTGGGTTGGCTTTCTCTGCACATCATGACGCCCTAGGTTGCGTAACAGAAAGCTGGTGTATCTGTTTTCATCTGGCACTATCCTCTTGCAAGTGGAGGGTATCAGAGTTATAAAAATTGCAGCGTTTTCATGTTTGCTGGATCAGGCAATGGTTTTTTGGCGAACGCTTGCAAAAGACCGCCGTCCGCCCCTGTTGATGATGGAATTTTTGGCCGGGGTATCCCTGACTATCGATGGGAGAGCTTAATTCTCATTTTCATGAGAACCTCCCTCATTCACACTTCCATACATAATATGCAAATCAAAGTGAAGCAACCTTCCGAAATATCACGCGTCTCTGAATTTTGCAAAAAATAATAATTTATTCAGCTGCAAAAGGTGTGTATAAGGAGGAAGCCTACATATAAATGTATAAGTTAGTAAAAAAATAAATAACATGGAATTCATTATGCCAGGAGAGATTGCTTGGGGAAAATGTGTGTCGTAGGCAAAACTGCATACAAAAGCATATAAATTTGAGGGAAAGCACACTAAACTTGTGACTTTTTAAAGAGTAAAATAAAGACCTTAAAGAAATGGCAGGAATGTGGTGACTGAGTATGATTGCAAGGGGGAAGAAACTGAAACAGATTTATCCACCCCTATCCCAGACCTATAGACTATGGCCTTGGCTCGCGAGTGTTCAGGTTTTGTGCTAACGTACGAATAAATGTACGTTTATTCTGGAGCCTCTGTTCTTGCGTTGGTGTACAACCTGGCCAGCTGCGACTAGTGCTCCCATGCCACCTGGTTTGCGTGGGCGCTTTTCGGCTCGTGAAAGGCTGCTTCTGAAATCACCACATCCACCTACAGTTGGAAGTTCGACAGGGTGCAAGTCTGTAAGTGTTTGGGAAGTGAAACCGATTTTTCTAGCTGGGATTCTTGCGTACAAACGTTTTGACTTGTCGAATGCACGTGCTCAGGTCGGTTATGTAATTCGGTAAGATGCAACGAGAAAGTAAGTGGGTGTCGTTGTGTTGCAATGGCGTCTTTGTTTATGTTTGATTTGGTCACACATCTCATTATTATTACTGTGTTTCTTTCCATGGGGTGGGTGGCGGGTTTGGCAGAACTACTGTGTGCAAATGGAATTTAATTGATGCTTGTCTTGGGGGGGAAAGTCAACCGTGAATACTTTTTTTTGCAACAGCATAACCTGTGTGCATTTCGGACACTCACACTTCTGGGCCAAGGGATTACCCTTTCTGCTTCACCCTTCTTATTTATTTGGTGCCATCAAATGCCAAGGAAATAAACAACTATCTGACTTTTAGAAGACATTTGAAAGCAGCCCTGTTTAGGGAAGTTTTTAATGTTTGATGTTTTACCATGTTTTTAATATTCTGTTGGGAGCTGCCCAGAGTGGCTGGAGAAACCCAGCCAGATGGGTGAGGTATGAATAATATTTAAAATATTATTAAATTATTATTACGAACACTAGACTAAGATTGAGGAGCCTGAGTTTCATGTCCCACATAGCTTGCAGTCTAAATGTTTGATGCTGGATTGGTTAGAAATTCAGATATATAAGCTAGGTTCCAATTGGTTCCTTAAACCAAGGTTGCAGCCGCCAAAACAAAATGTCTAGTTGCCATTTTTGGGCAAGACGGATCTCAAGTCTTCTTTTTCAAATGATAGACTGGCTGTGATGGATTCTCAGTTGAACATCTGGCTAGTTCAGATGACAACCTTGAGCCGGGTTAACAGCTTTGAGAACTTGAAGAAAAGTCACTTGAACCAGGGACAGTCTACGTATGTATTGGCCCGTTCTGACCTCTTTTTATTAACAGTGACACAGATAATTCATAACGTAAGACTATTCCTCACAACTGTGAGCAGGGCAGTGGGGCTATTGTCGTAGACGAGCTACAACAACTAACTACAGTGATACCTCAGGTTACATATGCTTCAGGTTACAGACTCTGCTAATCCAGAAATAGTACCCCAGGTTAAGAACTTTGCTTCAGGATGAGAACAGAAATTGGGCTCCGGCGGCGTGGCAGCAGCAGGAGGCCCCATTAGCTAAAGTGGTGCTTCAGGTTAAGAACAGTTTCAGGTTAAGAACGGACCTCCGGAACGAATTACCGTATTTTTTGCTCTATAAGACTCACTTTTTCCTTCCTAAAAAGTAAGGGGAAATGTATGTGCGTCTTATGGAGTGAATGCAGGGTGCGCGGCTATCCCAGAAGCCAGAACAGCAAGAGGGATCGCTTCTTTCACTGCGCAGCGATCCCTCTTGCTGTTCTGGCTTCTGAGATTCAGAATATTTTTTTTCTTGTTTTCCTCCTCCAAAAACTAGGTGCGTCTTGTGGTCTGGTGCGTCTTATAGAGCGAAAAATACGGTAAGTACTTAACCCGAGGTACCACTGTATACCATTGTTCACTGCTCCTGCTCAGGCTGCACAGAAAAAGCAATTTGGCCCCAGAAATTCATTCCAACTGTGCAGATAAAATATAACGGATGGAATTTTACAGCATGGGGTGTTAGTGTGTGAAAACAGTCCAAATCCAAGGGTCCCCCAATGCTGGAGATTTCAGGTACCCTCCTGGTACCCAGCCATCTTCTTCACTTTGTCGAAAGTGGTTGAAAGCCAGGTGTTGTAGCCTGGTGCCCAGGTAATTTCAAACACTGGAAGTGTGGGTTGTTAAGGGACATACAACTATTGCTAACTTTATTGTAGCACTTTTGGGGGGAAAATGCATGGGTTTTTCCCCTCCCAGTCATCCAGAGCCACACTAAACTCTCCTGACTTTTGAAGCCAAAACTGTTTTTGGCTGAGGTCCTTCTGAGCTGGAACTGAATGAATACTTCCATATTGAATCTTTGCGGCTGGCCTAGAAGCTCCTATCGAGACTTGCAAACTTGGGGATGAATTCAAGTGAAGGTTGGAGCAAAACTCTGTAAAGCAATCCAAGTGCAGTGGTAGTTAAATTGCACGGCAGAACTTGGTGCTTTGATGATGGCAGCTCCTCAGAGCCGCAGTGTTGCACCTGCAAAGCACGGTTGCAATTTGTTTCGGTACAAATGCTCCACTCGTGTGTAGTGGTACCGAGAGAGAAATCTTGAAGCACGCAGACAATTTTCAAGGCTCTTTTTGGAATTAACTGCTGAGAGAGATAACTTGGAAGTGAAAAAGCACTTGCTATGAGCTGTTTTCCGTGAACGGCCTAAGTCTGTTATCTATCCTCTTGTGGTTTATGTCTTGATGGCTTATAAAGCAGCTGTTTCCAAAACGTCTGACAGCTGAAGCACAATCCTCTGCACTGCTGGATGAAAACATCACTCCTTGCAGCCAAAAATTGTTTTATTTTTAAAGTGTGTAACACTTGCCCCATCCCCTTGGAGCATCTTCTGTCTTAGGAAAGGAGTATGTAGCTGCTCATTACTAGTCTCCGATGAATGGCAGCGGCTGTCCAAAGCCTCAGGCAGAGAACTCTTTCCAACATTGGCCACCAGATCTCTTTTAACTGGGGGTGTCAGGGAACGAACCTGTGGTTCTCAGCATGCCACATCCATGCTGTTCCACAGAACTGTGGTGTCTCCAAATTTCTGCACAAATCACTGATGTGGATATCCCTGCTGCTTAGAACAAGGCAAACCCAGGGCAGAAACTCATGCAGAGATGCAACAGCCAGTCTCCTCTGTGTGCATCCAATTCAGTGTGTGTGTCCTTGGTACCTGTAAAAAGCATTAAGGCGAGTTGTAGATCAAGCTAGGGAGTGGGAGACTGGAGCTGTGGGAGAAATTCCCCATGCAGTTTGCAGAGTTTGTAAAACCCTAGGCTGTTGTTTAGGCGTTTAGTCGTGTCTGACTCTTCGTGACGCCATGGACCAGAGCACGCCAGGCACTCCTGTCTTTCACGGCCTCCCGCAGCTTGGTCAAACTCATGTTAGTAGCTTTGAGAACACTGTCCAGCCATCTCGTCCTCTGTCGTCCCCTTCTCCTTGTGCCCTCCATCTTTCCCAACATCAGGGTCTTTTCCAGGGAGTCTTCTCTCCTCATGAGGTGGCCAAAGTCTTGGAGCCTCAGCTTCAGGATCTGCCCTTCAAGTGAGCACTCAGGGCTGATTTCCCTAAGAATGGATAGGTTTGATCTTCTTGCAGTCCATGGGACTCTCAAGAGTCTCCTCCAGCACCATAATTCAAAAGCATCAATTCTTCGGCGATCAGCCTTCTAGCCGCATCATTAAAAGTCCCTTCTCAGAATGAAGGATGCTTGGGGAAGACAGCCCAGCAGAGCTTCCCAGGGTGTTCGCATTGCTGCCACCTTTGAATTGTTTCTGAATTGATTGGATCTGATGGCACGACGGCTACCTGGGACCTCCATTGTCAGAAAGAATGCAAGCCGCTGGAGAACACCTGTGGCAGAGAGCTGTTGCCTTCATGCCTCGCTCGGGGGCTTCCCAACAGCATCTCTTTGCTCATGGTGCAAAGCAGGATCAGACCCTGGGTCTGATACAGCAGGGCCCTTCTTAAGCCCTGCTGAGCTTGCAGATCTGTGAGTGAAGCAAAATCCCGTTTTCGTTGGGGCTGAAAACCCTGAATCATTTAATTGCGACTCTCTCCTGCCTCTTCTCCCATACCTCTCGAGACAGCATGCATGGAAGATATTGGGTGGCCTCCCACACAGGCGCTGAGCAAGATCCCAGACCTGGGTGCCTTCGGGCTGTAGACTTGCAACCGGATCGTCATGGAATGCTGAGTCCCTGCTGTGTTGCCAGGCGCCCAGAACGTTCTCCTGGCATGTTTTCTCCTAAGCACTCGCCTCTATGACGCTGGTGAGGTTCTCAAGCTACCCCATACTATGGCAGGAATTCACCTTGGGCGCATGCTTGCACATCTCCTCTTCTTCCCCTGCCTTCCTCATTTATTTAAGCCAGGCAGCTGCATGGGGATCCCAGAAGCTATACCGCGGTGTGTGTTTGTTGCCAGTAATTTCAAAGCAGTGCAATAGGTCATTCACTCCCCTAACTGAATGCTATATGTCTTGGGTCTCATCTGATTTCCTCAAAATAAGCAGTCACGGCGTCTGTGCGTTGCCTGAGGTCTACACACATATTTCACAACGATCTTTTGTCCACAACATCTCCTGTTCCGTATACAGTGGTACCTTGCTTGTTGAACGGCTTAGCTCCCAAACAAATTGTCTCCTGAACACCGCAAACCTGGAAGTAAGTGTTCTGGTTTGCGAACATTTTTTGGAAACCGAATGTCCAACGCAGCTTATGCGGCTTATGATTCACTGCAAGAAGCTCCTGCAGCCAATTGGAGGCCACGCCTTGGTTTTCAAACGGTTCCGGGAGTCGAACAGACTCCCAGAATTGATTAAAGTCAAGAACCAAGGTACCACTGTATAAACATCCAGATAATAATAAATAATAATAAATATTTATTTATACGCCGCCCTTCCCGGTACAAAAACCAGGCTCAGGGCAGCTAACAACAAATTGAAAACACAATTGTAAAAGCAGCATAAAATGCAGTATAAAAACATGAATAACAATAAAATTCAAAATTCAAAAATCAATTTAGGGGAAATAAGCATTAGATAATCCCCAGGGCTAGCTGGCTGAATTGGTCCTACTTGGGCCAGCGAGGGGGCCAGGGGAGAATTAGCTGTGGGGTCTCAGAGCGGGTGATCTTCATAAAAGGGGAGCGGGAGGGAAGAGAAGGGAAATAAAAGATCAGGCTGAATTTAAATTTAAGGCCAGGTGGAATAGCTTTGTCTTACAGGCCCGACAGAAGGAGGTTAAATCCTGAAGGGCCCTAGTCTCATGGGACAGAGCATTCCACCAGGTCGGGGCCATCACTGAAAAGGCCCTGGCCCTGGTGGAGGATAGTCTGACTTCCTTAGGGCCCGGGACCTCTAAACTATGGTTATTCATGGACCTTAAGATCCTCTGCGGGGCAGACCAGGAGAGGCAGTCCCGTAAATACGAGGTAGAGATTATTGCAGCCTCCCACAGACTACTGCAGCCCTCCCAGTTAAGAGAGAAGCCTGTCTGAAATCCCTTGCGAGTCAGTACATACAATGCACCAAGATAGTATTAAGACCACTTTGTATGTTCCTGTTGATGGACTTTGGAGTCCAACGTCCCATAGAAGGAGCCCTGCAGGGTGGCAAAAGGATAATTCTTTAGCTGTGGATTGTTACGCAGTAGGATCCTTTTGGCGCCGTTGATCATGGGAACGTTTGTGTGTGGCAGGCTAGCAGGGTGTGTGTGTTGTTTTGCTTTTTGGCTGCAAAGTCCTCTTTTTAAAAAAAAATGCTGGCAGAAGAATGAAGGCCTCTAATTCCTTATAATGAGATCAAGGGCTTAATGGCTTAAAATGCTTAGAAAATTGTGGAGATTATCTTAGTCCCCTTGCCCCCTCCCTTGTCAAATATGACAGTGCAGGGGTGTCCATGCAGACAAAAATCACGTCTTGCAAATTCTGCTCACCGGCAGTGAGGCGGTTCCCCCCACCCTCAACCAGTGAGCGGAAAATAGCAAATGGTCATGGTAAACTCCACCCACTCAGTTTTATGCTGCAGAAGGATGCGAAGTCCTCTGGTGCTGCGAATAGCAACAACAACAACAGCAACAATTATAATAATAATAATTTATTTTTTGTACCCCGCCCATCTGGCTGGGTTTCCCCAGCCACTCTGGGCGGCTTCCAGCAAAGATTAAAAATACATTAAAATGTCACACATTAAATACTTCCCTGAAGATGTCTTCTAAATGTCAGGTAGTTGTTTATCTCTTCGACATCTGATGGGAGGGCGTTCCACAGGGCGGGCGCCACTACCGAGAAGGCCCTCTGCCTGGTTCCCTGTAGCTTTGCTTCTCGCAATGAGGGAACCGCCAGAAGGCCCTCGGCGCTGGACCTCAGTGTCTGGGCAGAACGATGGGGGTGGAGACGCTCCTTCAGGTATACTGGGCCTTTGAGGCCGTTTAGGGCTTTAAAGGTCAACACCATCACTTTGAATTGTGCTCGGAAACGTACTGGGAGCCAATGTAGGTCTTTCAGGACCGGTGTTATGTGGTCTTGGCGGCTGCTCCCAGTCACCAGTCTGGCTGCCGCATTCTGGATTAGTTGTAGTTTCCAGGTCACCTTCAAAGGTAGGCCCACATAGAGCGCATTGCAGTAGTCCAAGCGGGACATAACCAGAGTATGCACCACTCTGGCGAGACAGTCTGCGGGCAGGTAGGGTCTCATCCAGCGTACGAAATGGAGCTGGTAGACAGCTGCCCTGGACACAGAATTGACCTGCGCCTCCATGGACAGCTGTGAGTCCAGAATGACTCCCAGGCTGCACGCCTGGTCCTTCAGGGGCACAGTTGCCCCATTCAGGACCAGGGAGTCCTCCACAGCTACCCGCCTCCTGTCCCCCAAGAACAGTACTTCTGTCTTGTCAGGATTCAACCTCAATCCATTAGCCGCCATCCATCCTCCAACCCTGCCCATGGCTTTGCTTTGGAAAGGGTTTGGAAGCCAGGCTGTGCGGTCTCGTCCATTCTTCCTGGATGCATCATGGACTGCAAACTGCAAACTCTTCTCTGTTGCAACTGCACAGGAAGCAAACATATGTTGTCACTGAATTGCGTAAACACAGCAGAGGCTCTTTAAGGGAGGCACAGAGAGTTGCAAGCCTTTAACGGGGGGGGGGGGGGATGGCTTTTGTTCGCTTGTAAAGTTTATATGTCACTTTTCTGACAGTACCAGTCTCCAAGGTAGTTTATTACAGTCATAGACCAGCATAAGTAGAGTGTAGTGCAATCATTTAAAATCTGTAAAACGTTTTGGAAAGCTAAAATTATTAAAACAGAAGGTATATATAAAAGACTAAAAGAATCTAAAAGAAGGGTTAGGAGCATTAAACGGAGAATGTGGAAGAGCATAAAAGATTAGTATATAAAAGGCTATGGCTATCAATTCACAGAGCTCTCTGATATGAGTGTTCATTAAATCTGCTTCGTGGCACAGGTCATCAAAGGTAGTTAATGAAATATCAAAGCATAATCCAGATAGCAGGCTAAAGTTTATTGTATTCTGTTATAGGCCATCAAAACAGCTATGTGAGAGCACCTGGAAGAACCCTAAGAAGCAATAGTTAACAGCAGTTAAAGGGGAAAAATTGTTATTATTATTATTATACCACCCTTTATCAAAAGGTCCCAGGGTGGTGTACAACATTAAGAACACATTTAACGGAGCAAAAAAATAAAAACATAAAACATAATAAAATTAATCACGATAACAGTCCCCCCCCTCCAGCTTTAATGTACACATCAAATTAAATTACTCTTCCTTTTAAAAGAAAAAGGACAGAAGTTGCCTGACATCATATACAGTGGTACCCCGCAAGACGAACGCCTCGCAAGACGGAAAACCCGCTAGACGAAAGGGTTTTCCGTTTTGGAGGCGCTTCGTAACGCAATTTCCTATGGGCTTGCTTCGCAAGACGACAGCCCATAGGAAATCTCAGGGACAGCGGGGAAGCGCAGCGCGTCTTCCCCACTGTCCTCGGACCTCCTCCGAAGCCTGGCGGCGGGGCGGGGACACCTCCTCCCGCCGCCGCCGGGCTCGGAAGGCTCCTCCGAAGCCGGGCGGGGGGGAGGGAACACCTGCCGCCGACGCCCGGCTCGGAACGGTGCTCCGGCCGGGCGGGGGAGGGAACACCTGCCGCCGCCGCCCCGCGCGGAACGGTGCTCCGAAGCCGGGCGGGGGGGGGAGGGAAGACCTCCCGCCGCTGCCCGGCTTCGGAACGGTGCTCCGAAGCCGGGCGGTGGGGAGGGCCGACCTCCCGCCGCCGCCCGGCGGCGGGACGGGGCTCCGCAGCCGGGCGGGGGGGAGGGCACACCTCCCGCCGCCGCCCGGCCCGGAACGGTGCTCCGGGCCGGGCGGGGGAGGGAACACCTGCCGCCGCCGCCCGGCTCGGAACGGTGCTCCGAGCCGGGCGGGGGGAGGGAAGACCTCCGCCGCTGCCCGGCCTCGGAACGGTGCTCCGAGCCGGGCGGTGGGGAGGAAGACCTCCCCGCCGCCCGGCCCGGAACGGTGCTCCGGCCGGGCGGGGGAGGGAACACCTCCGCTGCCGCCCGGCCTCGGAACGGTGCTCCGGGCCGGGCGGGGAGGGAAGACCTCCGCCGCCGCCCGGCTCGGAACGGTGCTCCGGCCGGGCGGGGGAGGGAAGACCTTCTGAAGGCGGGCGGGGGCGAAGTCTTTGCTCCCCTGCCTGCCTGTCCCGGAGGGCTTTGAAGGCGGGGAGCAAGACTTTCGCCCCGCCCGCCTTCAGAAGAGGTCCAGGACCTCTTCTGAAGGCTGGCGGGGGCAAAGTCTTGTCCCCCTGCCTGCCTTCCCAGGGGCTTTAAATTGCCCGGACAGCGGAGAAGTCCTCCGCTGTCCCGGGGTGATTTTAAATGCCGCCCGCCAGCATTTTAAGATCGCCCGGACAGCGGAGAAGTCCTCCGCTGTCCCGGGGTTTTAAAATGCTGGGGGTGGGAAGAAAAGCCCTTGCCCCCCCCCCCAGCCTTCAGAAGAGGTCCGGGGACAGACTGTCCCCGGACCTGGTCTGAAGGCGGTTTCCCTAGGAACGCATTAATTGATTTTCAATGCATTCCTATGGGAAACCGTGCATCGCAAGACGAAAAACTCGCAAGACGAAGAGACTTACGGAACGAATTAATTTCGTCTTGCGAGGCACCACTGATATATATATCTATATCTATATCTATATCTATATATCTCACTGCTGGAAAAGGATTTCTCAATCAAGATTTTGTGTTCCTCTTTGAGAAGCATGGCTTGTATGCATGTCTCAAAAGGCAGAAGCTGGACTGTGTTGCACCCAGAATGGAGATCTCCTGCGGTTTACTACAAAGGGCATCCTGAGCAGGGAGAGAGTAAAAGGGAAAGTCCATGTGTGTGTTCAGTGACCGCACACGAGGATACTAACCATTGCAAAACTCTTTTTCAGTAGGTCTTGCCTGAAGCTCCCCACCTCCCCAGAGCTGGCTATGCCTCCTCCTCTTCTGGCTCTTTCCCAAGCAATCTGAGACTGCGTCTGCTTGTTAATACTACTACTACTACTACTACTACTACTACTAATTTATTTATTTATACCCCGCCCATCTGGCTGGGTTTCCCCAGCCACTCTGGGCAGCTCCCAACTGAATATTAAAAACACAATACAGCATTCAACATTAAAAACTTCCCTAAACAAGGCTGCCTTCAGATGTCTTTTGAAAGTAAGATAGTTGCTTATTTCCTTGACATCTGACAGGGCAGGCACCACCACCGAGAAGGCCCTCTGCCTGGTTCCCTGTAACCTCGCTTCTCGCAGGGAAGGAACCGCCAGAAGGCCTTCGGCGCTGGACCTCAGTGTCTGGGCAGAACGATGGGGGTGGAGACACTCCTTCATGTATACTGGGCCAAGGCTGTTTAGGGCTTTAAAGGTCAAAACCAACACTTGGAATTGTGCTCAGAAATGTACTGGGAGACA